TATATATATATATATATATATATATATATATATATATATACATATTGTTTATTTTGTTTATTTAAGGATCCCCATTAGTTTCTACCATATTCTTCCTGTGGTCCACACTTAAAACATTGCAATTAAACCAAGCTTTTACAAACATACAAAAAGTCATAATAAAATACCAAAGATAAAAACAAATGCACAATATAAAAATTCAAACCGTCTCAATAACATTTGACAAGCATTACAAAATGACAACAACAAAAATAAATAAATATCTGTGAGTTCATGTTGTCTTCAGCTGCTCCTTCTGCTCATTGAGGAAACCCAAACAAGAGATTTGGCAATTGCTTTACGCCGGATGCCATTTCTGACGAAACCTGGGCTCGAACCTGCTGCCTCAGGATTATGAGACCCTGGTACTGACCACAGAGCTACTGTAGCATATTTAAGAGTTCATAAAAAAAGTTGAACAAAAATTAACTTTTTTTTAAGAAATTCAATGAAAACTCTTTGCCATTGCTATTGCACTAAATTTTCATATTAGTTTGCAGTCTTTGCTCCCCCATTGGATGACATGATCAGGCACCCATGACTCGACCAATCACACGTTTTTTTTTTTAGTGTATCCTACTTCTTTTCTCAGATTTTGAGTGTACATGTGTCGCCTCATTTAAAGCCACAAAGAATAATAGAAAATTACCCCTTTACAATATAGAACACCCACAAAAGCAATACTTTTGCATTTACACAAATTCAAATAACTTTTGCCAGAGCACCAAAACTTTGTGTAACATTGTCTATCTTGCTGCACACAAAGACAATCAATGTTTTTTTGTGTGATTGTTCAAGAAAAGCTACCACAATACCAAATGTAATACATTGTAATTGTGATCGTTTTTAACAGAGAAGTACTTGCGTTCATTAGATTAATTTTTTTATTCAAACCCAACAAATTTAAGTCGGTTCCTCTGGATGGTTTCTTTTTGTTGTTGAAATGTTTCGTCCTTCATCCAAAGGACTTCTTCAGTCTGAGGAGCCACAACAACCTCATTCCCACAAGCAGCACACTCACATAGTGGGCCAACCAGTTTGATGGTGATAAGATGGTTTCTGGCGACCGTCCTCTCCCCCATCGACTCTGAGGCAGACGTAGCCAAATTGGTTCAAAACATTAAAGTTCATGCTCAGTAAACCAGGTAAAAAATCGAACAAAGTTAAGTCAGGTCCTCTGGACGGTTTCTTTTTGTTGTTGAAACGTTTTGTCCTTCATCCAACGACAAAACTTTGATATTTTGAACCACTTTGGCTATGGCTGTCTCAGTCAACAGGGGAGAGGGCGGGCTCCAGAAACCATCTTATCACCATCAAACTAATTGGCCCACTATGTGAGGTTGCTGCTTGTGGGACTGAATTTGTTGTGGCTCCTCGGACTGATGAAGTCCTTTAGACGAAATGTTAAAAAAAAAAAACCATCCAGATGACCCGACAACTTTGTTGGATTTTTTAAACTGGATTATTGAGCATGAACTTTAAAGATTTTTTAAATTCAAACATTTGTAACCTGACAAATTTGTTTTAATTTGAAAAAGCTGTACCTTTAAAAAAAAAAAAAAAAAAAAACTAAAGCAATGACGTTTGTATGAACATGCACAATGTAGAGTTGGAGAAGGATTTTCCCAAAATTATGGCAGTATATGATTTTAACAGTTTCTTTAAAAGTAATAACTATTCTGGGAGTTTTATCAATCTCTGATATCCATATTTATATGCTTTTTATGTTGTCCTCAATAACTGAGATATTTTTCCTCTACATATTTTTGTCTTGACATGACTTCGTCTTAAAATGTTTTCGTAGCTCTATCACTACAAACAATGATGGGAAAGTTGTGATAATGCAAATGAGGAAGTCACAGCTATTTTAAGGGCTGACAACAGCGGTTTTCATACATTCATATCATCTAACTCGAAGCTCAATACAGCTTACTTAAAAACAATTCCCATCATACAATGACTGGTCTAAATTTCTAGGATTCTTCCTCCAGTTCTGGTAAACCCCAAGCTGATCAAATCAGGCTTTACAAGAACAAAGAACAGCCTTCTTGTTCAAAGCTGCGACTCCTCATGGAATGAAGCAAAACTTGATTTCTGTCCCTCCCTTACGAGTACATGCTTGTGACGTTGAGCTCCTTTAATCATTTCTTGTGACTAAGTTACCAGTTAACAGCTCTACACAGAGAAAACGATGGCAGGGATTCATCTACAACGAGACGTGTTCTGCTGCTCGGTATGCTCGAACCTTCTTACTAATCCAGTGACCGTACCTTGTGGCCACTGCTTCTGCATGAGCTGCATCAACAATCATTTGGATCAAAAGGATCATGTGGGGATCTACAGCTGCCCTCAGTGTAGAGATATCTTTGTAAAGAGACCTGTGCTGGTTAAAAATACCATGATAGCTGTTGTAGTGGAGCAGCTGAAGAAGACAGAAGCCCAAGCTCTTGTGGAGGAGCAGAATACTCGATTTGGGGTGAAAAAGCCTTTTGTCCAAGGCCACGTTTCTATCGACGATTGCTATGCTCGACCTGAAGATGTAGCCTGTGATGTCTGCTCTGAGAGAAAGTTCAAAGCTGTCAAATCCTGTCTTCAGTGTTTGGTTTCTTATTGTGGGACTCATCTCCAACCTCACAATGACGTGCCCCCCTTGAGGAAGCACAAGTTGGTGGAAGCAACTGCAGATCTTCAGGAGAATGTCTGCTCACAGCATCAAGAAGTCATGAAGATGTTCTGCCGCACTGATCAGCGCTGCATCTGTTACGTCTGCTCCAAGGACGACCATCATGGCCACAACAAAGTCTCCATAGAAGCCGAAAGGATTGAGAGGCAGAAAGAACTTCAGTCAGCTCGGCAAAGAATCCAGCTGAGAATCCAGGAGAGAGGAAAAGACCTGAGTGTTTTTCAACAGGAAGAAGATGCAATTAATGAATTTACTGACGATGCACTGGCTAACGCTGAGAAGGTTTTCACAGAACTCATTTATACAATTGAGAAAAAACTCTCCCACATTAAGGAAAGCCTTCAGTCACGGCAGAACTCCGAGGTGGGTCGGTTCACAACGGTGCGGGATAGAGTGAAGAAAGAGTTTGACGACTTGAACAGAAAAGATGCCAAGCTAGACGAGCTTTCACGCACAGAGAACCACATTCATTTTGTGGTAAATTTTCCTTCACTGAGTCATCTTGATGATTCTAAGTACCAACCGACTCACAGGTTTCGCCGTCAGAGGAACTTTGAGCAGGTGACGGTGGCTGTGGCCGAGGCCAGAAATAAACTACAGGAGGCTCTTAACGAAGAATACGAAAAGATTCAGAATGCAATAACTGGAACCAATGGTTTACCATCAGTTGCTCATGCAGAGCAAGCGGCGGCTGTTTTTGAGACCAGTCGTGAACCTGTGAAGACCACAGCCGAGTTTGTACAGTCCAGAATCTTACAGAACTTAATCAGCCCCGCACATCCTCCACCAAACGTTTTCCAGAATGGAGATGGCATCATGCCGGACAATGGTAATTTTGCTGATACTAATGTTTTTAAATCAAGGTGGCAGGACAATTCCTATATCAAATCTGATCCTGAACCCAGCAGACAGAACTTCTCACAAATAAGAGACACCCCTGAAACTAAAGAACAGAACTTTTCACCAATAAGAGCTAACTTTGAAACCCATGGGCTGGATATTTTAATGACCAGAATCACCCCTCCACTTGCCAGTCCCCAATTTTCAGAAGCCAGTAATAACATAAATCTTCACAGGGGTGGCTTGGCCGCAGCCATTGCCACCCCTAGACTTAACAGACATAAGCTTTCTAAGGTCGGAAATGACTTCTTCAATCCAGATGACTTCATGCAGAAAAACAAAGACCCGGGTCAAACCAGCAATCATCTTGTTCGAAGCACGTCTCAAATCAGTTTGAACAACCTTGAGTTTGAGAAGCCTTCACCTCACACTTTACTGGCCAGAGCTAGCACCAAGGACAAACTAAACAATTTTCAGAATAGAGCCAACTTCTTAAAGTATGCAAAAGACATCACATTGGATCCAAGTACTGCAAACCTACATCTGGCAATAACCAACGAGAACAGAGAAGCTGTGTTTGTGGGGGAAGAGCTGGCGTATCCTAGCCACCCAGACAGGTTTGCATATTCCTGGCAGGTCCTGAGTCGAGAGTGTTTCACTGGCCGCTGCTACCTGGAAGTGGAGAGGAGTGGGAAAGGAGTCATGGTGGCACTCGCTTACAAGAACATCAGCAGAGCCGGGACCTTCAACGAATGCATGTTCGGGCAAAACAACAAGTCCTGGGCTTTAGATTGTTTCAAAAACAGTGGTGAGTTCAGGCATGACTCGGTCAAAACTTCCATCCCCGGCATTTGGTCCTCCAGAATCGGAGTGTACCTGGATCACA